GTTACGTTTTAGCAGAAGATTTTCCGGTTAGTTAATTTGTACCGTATAAGTATCGCTACGTGTTAAGTTAGAAAACCTCTCCAAGGCTTCTAAAACTAGAAAAACTCTCGAATTTCGACAGTAACTGGCACTCTAATTATTATTATATTACGTCGAGAGCAATAGGCTTGTAGGCTTATGCCTTCCCGATTATCAACTGAACTTGATTGCTGGTGAAAATAAAAAAGAAGCTCTGGGTTTTTGGGAGGTTGTGCGGAATTTTGATCTCTCAACGTTTCGACTTATCCACCGAAGGACCTACATTTTTATTGTTTTTTTTTTTCATTGCACACCCAACTAGATGTGTTTTGTTGGTTTTTGCTTGGAAAAATAAGAAATAAACTTTCGAAAAAAACTTACCATTTTTAATTTGTAGACTATCGCCAATAAAGCAGGTAATTATGAGCGATAAGAGGAGTAGCCAATTCGCGCTGCTACCAATGCTCTTCTTGCTGCTCTGATGATAACTACAACTGCTTGCCAGCTGCTTTTGTTTTTGCTGCTGCTGCTGTTGACACCTGTTGTTGACGTTGTTGCTTTTTTCCGCGATATTTAATTGTTTATTACATCGTTCGGGCCGCAAGCGAGAACAACCACAACCAAAAGGATGATTTCGACGTCGATGAAGATGCTTACATTGTGGTATAGTATTTGCAGTCACTGTAACATTTGCTTTTATTGTTGAACTTGCTATTTTTGTTGCTGCATATTGGTTTATTAGCGCCTTATTTGCACCACATTTTTTTCTTGCTGTTTTTCTTATTGTTATTGTGGTGCTCCTCACGGCTGCTAAAAATGGCTCTTTAGCCATTGCTTTTATGCACTTAACATAGGCTACTTCACACAAACACACCAACACTCTTTAATAAAACTCTGATTGATAGCGGACGTTGGCAAAGGAAGGATCTGTGTGATTTGTAGTTTTTTTTTTATATACTCTGTAGCGAATACCGGAAAAAGTACTTTTGGCGGATGCTCCAACCCAACTGAAAATAGATGAAAATACATAATTGGTAAAATTTTGAAAAACTGCTTTACTTAGTTTACATATCGAGGGCTTTATATTTAATACCCTCTATCTGCATTTTTCACAAAAATGAGATTCTGATATAAAACCAAACTGGCTAAACAGATTGTAGTACCACAGCCACAAGCTATTTCGCTAGCTACATGAAATACATCAGAAATAATATACCACTTGCTACATATTGTGGGCAGTTTAGAGCATTTAGAATATTTTAACTTTTGACAGCTCTTGCTACATACCACAGCCTAACCATTCTGGTTAGGCAGTAAGACTTAATTGTCATCGGTGATATTAATGCAGACCTTGTATAACGCTTGACAAAAGAATGAACTGTTAAATTGCATAGGCGGAATTAACATCAGTGCTGACAGGTAAGTCCCAGAAGGTTTCTAGCACAAAGTAGTTTTTATGGAAATTGCAGATAGAGGGTATTAAATATAAGCCCTCGATATGTATTTATGTACGAATGTATGTATGTGTGTATGTATACAAACAATAAGTAGTATGGCTGATTTATATGAGCTGAGAGAGAGGCAGAGACTTTTGCCATTTTCAGCCAATGAATTTGTGAAGTAGATACCCTGAATTTAACCTCCATAAATCCTAGGCCCTTTTTCGTACCAAATTAAATACAATTCTACGTACATTAATTTTTGTATGCCCAAATGAAGCAATTCTTTCAATATTCAATAGCGCAAAATTGATAAGAATACATAAATAAATAAAAAAATAATTAGCTGATAAAAAACGGAAGTGATAAAATATCGCTGGCGATATCTGAAACGTGGCTACTAGCTAAGCAATATTTAGCATAAGCAGCGTTCATAAACATTTCTCTGTTTCTGCTCTATCAAGTTTCTTTTCACGTATTCTTATGATTCCATTTTTTATAAAATTTTTTTATTTTTTTCATTTGCTAATTTCATAGAGATTTATTGCGTTAAATTCGGCACTCCATCAGTTATGCAAATTATGCCGTCTTATTAAGCATATTTCGTATTTCAGCTAGACATAAAATAAAATGTATTTTAAAAAGCATATAAAAATTAATAAATTAAGCAAATTAATGGAGCTATATAGCAAGATTAAGTGGATCATAAAACTGGCAATTGGAAAGTTTTAAGTAGATCTACCAAGAAAGTGAAACGAAATAAATAAATAAAGCAGTAAGATACAAACAAAATAGAAATTTAAATCATTTATACAGGGTGTCCCAGAAGTAACCTGCCAAACTTTAGGGGAAGGCACAGTATACAGTAATCCAGATAGGCAAAACAAAAAATGTAAATATGCTTATTTGAAAATTTATTTGAATGTATTGGTTGATATTTTTTCACAGTGGTCGTTTTCTTTAACCCAAATGAAATCCAATTTCAATATTTTCTTATAGTGGAAAATATTTTCAAGTCACATAAAATAGAACAACGAGAAAAACAAAATTACTAGCAAATCAGGCTTGCAGCGTAAGCGATTATAACCGGATGCAGTTCCTACATAAGTCATATCTGGTTCCAAACACAACTTTGAGTGAATAATGGTGGGCTGATTTTGTAAAATGGATCCATAAATTAGGGGGTAAAACAAGTATTACTTAGCTTAGAGGTAGAACTCTCTAATTTAAAAATATACCACTCTTATAGTGGTATAGCTCCAAAGTTTTTATGAAATATGTACCCAAAATTATATATCGACGCTCGAACTAATGCAGGAAAGGTTTATGCAGATAAGCAAGGCCGTTTTTCAACGGTATAAAATGTATATACACATATTCTTACATACATATTTATCGAAATATTCAGAATGACGAAATGAATTGGTTCAGTCGTGTCTGTTTGTAAACACGCTAATTCGAACAAAATTTAGATATTTTAACGAATGTCGGTGGCGAAGTTGCCTTTGGTATTATTTAGGTTAGTATTAAATTTTGGTGAAACCTGTCTATAACCACGACCACCTCCCATGTAGTAATCAACAATATTTTTGTTTTATTATTTTTTTTTACGATTTCGCTGTTAAAATTTACATTTCAAATATATCAACAAACATTTGGGGGTACTTTTGCACCAGTCATTGCCTATGGGTTAATAAAAAAATAATCCCATACATGCACAATATTTCATGTATTAATTTTCAAATAAGCATATTGTCAATTGCTGGTTTACTGTATACTGAGGGGGAAGGTAGGTGGGGGGTGGGCTCTCTGATAAACAAAAAATTTTCAGGTAAAAGTGTTACCGTTTTTGAAATATTTAAATTTTGTTTTAATTAAAAAAAAATCGTGCCTCTTCCGGTATTTTCTTTAACTGCATCTAAAAACCAGACTATACTTAATAAATTTTTTATGTAAAATGCTTCCAGATAGTTGCTTCTCCATACTCAAATGCAATGTAGTTAAAATATATTAAGGAGCCATCATAAAATTATGACTATTTTGGGATTTTTAACTTTTTAATATTTTCTCCCCCAAATTTGACTATCTCTGGTGAAAAAAAATGTACTGAGCTATACCTTTGCATTACATAAAAAAAAATTGTTCCTTTAATAAAGATTTCAGAAAGGTGCCACTCTTACTGTTTCGAATAGAAAAAAAGTTATAGCCGCTTTTGTGGGCAAAGGACTGAGACACGCTAGAATGTATTTAATAGATTTAAATTTAAGTTGCTCTTGTTACCGACCAATGATATGCTAAATAGTACAAAGGTACATTACTTATTACCTGCCGCTGCCATTATTCGAACATTGTGTTATTAATACCATAACAGAGAACACGCAGATACGTCGCATGAATATGCGGATATTCACCTATTCACGGTGAAGCTTGCTGTAATGCCAGAGCTGCTCAAAGACTCTATACCCCAATCGTCGGCATACGGATCGTGAAGTATTCGCCCGGACCCATAGAGAAATATATGAAGGTAAGTGATTTTTACACCCTTCTTGTTTGCCTGCTTGTTAACTATCATTTTTCACTTTTTTAAGGTCGCAGACCTGGAAGGCGTGGCGGCGAAACAGGACGTCCTGCAACGGTAGATGTTGAAGTTGTGTTAGAGGAAGTGGAACTAGGTCCATCGACTTCAGTGAGAATGATGGAAAGACGGACGGGAATACCAAAAACTACAGTTCACAAAGCTTTAAAAGACCATCGATTTCATCCCTACCACATTCAACGTGTTCAGGCTCTACAGGAAAGAGATTACCTGTCGAGGGTTAGATTTTGCCGTGAAATGTTCCGAATGCATAAATCAGACCCCAACTTTTTTAATAAAACAATTTGGAGCGATGAATCATCATGCAAACGTGATGGTTATTTTAATTTAC